CTTTCCCTTGTCCTTCGTACCTCAGCATCTATTTGCTTTCTTTGTTTCCCTCTCTCTCTGTCTTTCTTTCCACTGCTTTCATTCTTTCTTTCCATTTCTCTCTCTCTTAGACAAATAAATATCTTTAGCAAACAAATATTATTGGACAAATAAATATCATTCTCTAGATGTGATTTTAGTTTGTTGTTTACATAGCTGTCTAATTCTGTAATCCAACTCCTATGGCATTTTTAGTAGTTGCTTATACTATTTTATTGCTCTGTTTGCATTATGTAATTCATCTTGAGACCCAGCGAGAAAAGCAGGATATAAAGTAAATAAAAGCAAAATAAATGAAATGTATGTCAGTGTTAAATACTGATTCCCAGCTCCTTGATAGAACTAAGTCTGTGCAGGTCAATGTGAGACTCCTTGAGCATCTCTAGATAGGGGGAATTCATTGGCTTTAGCTAAATAAGGCAGCAGTTATGAGCATTTTTGCCAGGTGGAGGATATATTGGTCTCAACTGGACTTGAGGAAACATGGTTAATATTGCAACGGATGTAAATCTAACTGCCTCAGGGTCCCAATGAAGCCACTGGCTTTCTTGAGGCAAGGCTTTCATCTTATTGCTGATTTATGATAAAGGATTAGATGACATCTCCCACACTTGGTCCCACCAAATTTTTGAAGAAGCTACCAGGTCTAGTTAAAAAGAAGATGACCCTAAATGAAAGACAAGCCACCTTAAAGAAGTTATACAAATGTGTGGTTGTTGGAGGGTTTTTTTTAATTACTTGACATAAGCATAACATGCATAGGAATGTAAGCAACCCCCTTTTTTCTACAGCTTACCTGGAAAAAATAACCCTAGTCTTGTATTTGAGTAAATGCCATATATCTATCTAATTTCTTTCAAACCAAACCAGAAAATATGTTTTCCACAAAGGATTCTGTTTAGAGCTCAGACTCTTAACATCTAATTATCTCCCTCTGCAATTACACACACCGCTGCATTTCCCCCCCCCTCCTAAACTAAGGAAGAGTCAGGGAGCAACTGTAAAAGGGGAGATAAATACCCTCATCCCTGCGCTGTTAAAAATGGACACAAGAAAGAGGCAGAAGGAGCTCTTAGTTCTGTCTTTCATTCTTGGTTTGAATCCATTAGCCTTGAGATTGGTACATGTGCAGCTTCAGCTCTCTTTCAAGGCATATGTGTTGGCTTTTATATTCCTGGTAGAAATCACGTTGATGTGGGGAGCCAACACTCAACGCAGATTGAGCACAAGAGAGGTCTGCGGATAGTATGGCAAAGCTAGTGTTCTTGCTGATTCTGCTCCCTTCCATGGCGTGTAAAGTCGATATTTGGAAGTGTCTCAAGGGTGATCCCCTCCCAGTTCCACATGACTTCTATCAGTCTGGGGATGTCCTTGTTGGTGGGATTGCTTCTCAGATTGTTTACCCTCTTCACACATTTCTTTTCCAAGAGAATCCCTCAGATGGCTTGTTTGACTTTCCAGAGTAAGGATTTCCATGCCTCACTTGAATTATATGAGTCTGATCAGATCATAAACCCTAGCAATTGCTCTGCACTGTGATAGGATGGTCAAAGTGTTTGCCGGGTTGACAGTGTATATGATATTTCTTCTCCCAGAAAGAGAGTTCTTAGTATTTT